CACATTCACCTCCATTACAAAACTGCATATATGCAGATCTAATTGGGTTAATTGTTACTCAATCGTGAAAATTGAAAACGTACAGCTGACGTTTCGCCTCCTGACAGGGGGCTTTCTCAAAGCTGACTGAAGATTATCAGTTTTGACCACCAGATGGTGTGGTGGTCAGCAGCTTGGTCCACACGTGACTGAGTATGTATCCCCCCTCGAAATTGGGTTCAGAATTAGAATTACTGGAAAGGGGGAATTATTTTATTATTTACCTTTTTATTATTATTTATCAGCTGGTTCACTGTCGGTACCACCATCACGGGCGGGTTTGGGTGTTTCAGGCCCTGACCAAATATTGTGAAGACAAATATTACCTAAAATTGGTTGCTATTCATGGCGGACCTTTACTTAGTACAGTTCCCCGTAGCCGCTGTCTGTTGGGGTGGTTGCAAACTGCCATTGAGATAATACTGGACGCAATTAAGGTGACTTATTGCAGGGACACGTACATACAGGGTTCTCCAAGCTTTTTCATTATAGCATGGCGGGGCTGGCTTTACGGTCCTAGTTTTAGCATTTTTTTAGCATTTTTTAGCTAATTTTAACATGGCGGCTATGATATTTAGAGTGGCGGGTGCATTTTAGGATGGCGGGGCTCGACGATAACCTGGCGGGCTGCCAGGCTATAAGTGCTCTTGGAGAACCCTGACATATAGCCAGGGGTGAATAATGACAAAAGAGTTTTGACACGTATCGGATGCTGATTTCACTAGATTTCGTCTTACGAGTTTGACGTGAATAAAAATAAAAATGAAAACAAACTTGAGCTTCCTTCATTATCCACCCACTGATATAGGTCACACTCTAGTCTAACAGCGGTACGTTACACGTATCAAAGATGGTCTGTCTGACGTGTTTGTAGCTGGCTGCATAATCATTACGTAAATTCTACAGGGATTGAGCCACGCCACTTTTTGAGCAGAAATCAAAGCACTCGCTCTTTTGGAAAATTACGCGAGTGCAAACTTTCGTTTCGTATTGCGAGTGGCTGTAATACTTAAAACAAATTAACGAACACGCAACACATGGTAACTAGACGCAAGCAGATATAACAACGAACTCTCTGTTGACCGGCGTACAGGCCTTGGCTTTCTCATTTACACTGAGCTGTGGGATATATGATTTATGTGCTAACCGTCATTAAATTTATCAACATTTATGAATGTGTTTCCGCAATCCCGAGACCCCCCTCACCCCAACCTTTATCCAATCCAAGTGTAATACATTGCAATCATAATTATTGAAGAAGTAGTTATATCTGTTCTAGAATTTAAAATGACATAAGAACATTTATGAATGTGTTTCCTCAATCCTGAGACCCCCCATCCATCCTTATCCAATCCAAGTGCAATAAATTGCAATCATAATGATTGAAGAAGTTGTTATATCTGTTCTAGAATTTAAAGTGACACGATTTTTCGTTGTGGAACGGCTTCAGGAACTATAACTCTTTCAATCAGAGTGTCATTTGAAGATAACGCAGTTTGAGTGCCGTGAAGAGAAATAACTGCATCCGACTTATAGCTAAAACAAGACATTGACCACGCAAGAAGCGACGATTGCTCGTTTCGACAACCCACATCTCGTGAAATGAGAAACGATAGCCTCCAGTCCAAAACTTGTGAAAGCAGATAGACATAATAATAGTAACATTTCTCATCTTTATCTCGGTAATTTATTGCAATCATTATTGAGGAAACCTTAAATTCAAGACGATCGTAAATCGCCCACGAGTGAACGGAGTGATTCACTTCCGCCATACACATGACGCACATACTCTTGATATATATATGTATACACAGGTAAAAATACGCAGCGAATGCCTGACGGCATGGTAGCGGTGGTACGGTGACACTGACAGAACTGCAGCAGTCGCTAGACGAATAAATTATAAACCTAGCCTACATGAACACGTGGTTCGACTTCATTTTAGTATAATTCTATTCACTGAAACATTTCAAGTGCCCGTGGCAATGCTTATTACCCAAGCAAGCTGTCAAAATGGATAATTCTCATTATGTAAATTCAGTATGCCGATTAAGGTATTTAAATAGAGAGCACTTCACACTTTCCTATCTGTCCCATCTTGCTTTTTGTCAATTTCCGGGGAGATTGCTAGCCATACCAGCCCAGACAACACTTCCTGCACTCGTGAGTGCAATAAGAAAAAATGAAAAAAACACATCAGTGACTCAAGGCCACATTTCTCTACTTACACAAACATGAAAACACAAAAGCGTTTTTTGAGTACAAACAGCTTACAGTTACACTTCGCCTGTTTTCAAGAATGACAAGTGGGTTTAGTGGTTTAGTGGAGGGGGCAGATGATCTGGAAAAACATTCTTTCTGCCTACAGGCTGGCTATGCATACTGCCAGGGGTGAATCATGACACATTTGTCTTTAATAACCTCGAATACCTACCACCTATCAGACTATATAACCAGTGATCACCATTTACTAGTTTTATCTATTCCGCACGACCCATTGCTTAAAAACTCCTAGCTGCCTAACTCCAAGAAACGGTATTGCTAGGGTTAGAATACTTTTCAATATACTTTAGTATATTGACGTTAGTCACACAGCCTGGTCGGGTTACTAGCTGCCTAGATCAAGTGTTTCCAACGACTATTCCTTACTCTCCTACTCTATGTCTATCTCTAATGATCAATTGTCCAATGATTGCATCCCTCCTACTACATACAGCCTTTCCTCCCCGCTCATGTACCCATGATCTGCTCAACAAGAACACATAGATCTATACACGAACGCACGCACGCACGCACGCACGCAACACATACACACACGCACGCGCGCACGCACACAACACATACACACACACACACACACACACACACACACGCACGCGCGCACACGCAGGCACGCACACAACACACGCACGAACGCAGGCAGGCAGGCACGCACACACGCACACATGCACACAACACACAGGCACGCAACACAACACATACAACACACGCACGCACGCACGCAGGCACGCACACACGCACACAACACACGCACGCACGCACACAACACATACACACACACGCACGCACGCACAATGCCTAGAACTATTCACTATTCACGCCCTAATTATACCTCATCCACCTAATACCATTTCCTCTCCTACTTCCTGGCGAATTCAGTGTTTTTATCTACCTTACACACCGCGCTCACCACCTTAGTAACGTACAGCGGGCACGGGCGGGCTAACAACCAAAATCCACATACAGGTTCGGACGTCGGAGTAAGTCGTTAGCACACAATGTGCGATTGTGCGGGGAAGGGGAAAAAACAGGGCGAGGGGGAGACGGTGCGTGGATACTGCAAACATGCCTACACACATACGTCGCACCAGCGGTGTGACACACGTAGCAGCAGCAGCAGCAGCCAGCTACGACAAAGGTGGGGGGAGCCGAGAACTTGACACCCTAGCACGCAGCAGCGAAAAAAAACTCGAAGCAGCGGACACCACCGCATAGGCTGCGCGATTTCCAGCGGAGCGAGAGAGGGTGGGGTGGGGGGGGGGGGAGGGCTGCTGCTCCTGCTGTATCCAGCACACTACCACGCCACCGCTCTCATGCACATAGTGAAGCATTGCGGACACACCAGCTCTTACCGATACTCTGCACTGCCTCGTCTTCTCTCATCGTGTGCCTGCGCACGGGTTTCATGTTGCTGTTGCGTCAAATCCACGCATGCACGTCCGTTTCTCGCGACAACCACAATCACCACTGTTTATTTACGTCGGCCATGTTACATACGATACTGCGAAATCTGCCGAGAGGTGGCACCACCTACTTATCGATCATACGCGCTAGGGTCGATGGAATATGAATTCTGAATAAAAGCTAACAAACGTCACAGCGGGATTGCGCGCATGCGCACATGCACATGTCGGTAAAACATAATAATATATGCCATACATATAGTGTATATATACTGTATGTGACATTTCCTCGATACATACACGCATTTTTATATCCCAGGTGCGATTGGTTTTATCTTGAACAAAATCACACGTTACCCTAACATGACATGATACAGTGACAACAAGTGACGTAACGAGACAACAAGCGACGTCACGAGACAACAAGTGACGTAACGTGACAACAAGTGACGTAACGTGACAACAAGTGACATACAGCCTTGTTTGGTATGGTATTTATACTCAACCTAATCATATATTGGTTAGTTCAGAACTATTAGATAGTGCTGACACCTACCGTTCTTGTACTAGCAGTAATTTGTATTTCTAAACTTGAAAGATTTTATTTTGTTCGTATATTGTAATGTAATTTGTATTCTGTGACAATCGTTTGCGTTTACTGTTGGTGTCTAGAATAAAGGCATTACAATGAATATGATTGTGTTGAGTGATATTATAGGTTTTGTAAAAAGTGCAGTCAGCTAGCTACAGAACCAATGGTAATAGCATGAAACAGAACACGCAACAATAGAAGAGCCACCAAGTTCCGCACAGGCTACGGAGAGGCTTTCTAGCTAGCAATGGTTTGTCGGAGGCTTCGTAAATCTACGAGTTCCGTGAACGCACATACATTGGCAACACCAGTGAGCAGCAGGGCTGCTAATGTTTGGGAATGATGACTTTTTACAAAGCTCTAGAAACCATAGACTGGTTCAGAGTCCAGAGCTTGTCATCGGCGCGTACCCCACGCAACTTAGAGCAGGAATGGTGCAGAGGGCAGGGAACCAGTCTATAGGAACCATACCGAGAGGGTATGCGCAAGAATCGTTCGTAATTATGTCTAAATGAATACCATTAGCTTCCTATGTTCCTATGTTATTAATTCTTATGTTCGCAGAGTATCTAAGACAGAAGATAACACAGTATACACGCGCGCGCGTGCTGTGCGCGTTTGGCCGTGCGTGAGCGCGCGCGCGTGTAATGAACGTAAATGATGAACGTAAATGAACGTGTACCTACCTATGCTTTGAGGGGAGGATGGCCGGTCTCTGGGCGACAGCGAGTTGTTCATAACCGCATTTCTCTGAAAAACAACGGCCAGAACGTGAGATTACCGCGCAAGGCGTGTTGCATTCTACATCTCTAGCGCGAATCGCTGTGGCGTTAGCTCCCGCACCGGTTACTGCAAAGCAAGGGTAGTAGTAGTATGCACGGGACTGTTACGTGCATAGGGCTGAAAACACACGTGAACGTACGAGTGTTTATTAGTCACACGGTCCGGATAAGTGCGGCATGTTTTATTACAAGCATGTTTACGAGAGGTGGCAACGCTGGTGTAAATATGGCAGAAGGGGTCGTTGTCGTATATGTAGTAACCGAGGTGTCGGCGAGTATGTCGCCTACGCCTACTACCTAACCCTAACCCTAACCATATAAGATAGTTCCCTCGGGTACATGTTATACGACATTATACGACAACGACCCTTCGTGCGTAAATATGCGATAAACCTCGCTATGCTACTGTAACTAGCGGTGTCGTTTGCGACAATATTATGTGCAGCATTACATGTTTGCGTCTTACGGCGATAGCAAAGGCTGGTTAACGTCTGGGTTTATTTTGGTCGGTAGGTTCATTATTAGCAGGAAATTACGTTTGGTTACAGGGCTGCAATATTTACCTAAACTTTTTGTCCCAGATAAGTTAAGTAAGTAAGTAAGTAGACGGCGCATAATCTATAAAATAAGCATAAATGACATAAGGCTCTGGAGTTTGGCATTAGTGACGCTGTTATGTTAGCATTGCTGTCAGGTTTAAAGCTAGTTTCCATCCACTCGCATTTATAGGACTTTCCGACTACGGTCTGTACCGTAGCGACTGGAGTGAAACTAGTTTTAAAGCTTGACTCTGGTTTTAGCACGCATCAGGTGTAAGGTGCAATATTGGTTCGCACTATGCTTGACCATAATAGCTTGTCCATTACTATCACCGCAAATTTCTTTTATATAGACATAGAGGTTTATAGGTTAGGGTTAGGGAGTAGGCGTAGGCGACTCCCTAGACTCGTTAGTGGAGTAGGCGAGGTACGGTCCGGCATATTAGATAGTACCAGGGTACGTTCTGGTATACCGGACCGTAACCAGGGTACGTTCCGGCAGTACCCCGGGGGACATAGACCCTCTCAGCGAAACTAACAGGGGTTAGAGACGTGCCAGTGCCACCACAGGCACTTGGGACAGAGTCAGTAAAAACTGCCCATATTCACAAATATGCCCTACTACCGTACCGCTCAATTACAGTCCCACTGTTGCGTCACTGTATATCAACTTTCCTTCATAAAAACCTTTTTATTCATGTAAAAACTAACGAGTGTGCTGTGTCGCCATGATAATATCAAGAGCATATACAGAAGGACTTATTTCTTTATATGCTCTTGATATAAAGTTTATATATTATATATTATCAGGAGTAAGATCCTATATTATCTTACTACTGATATTATCATGGCGACACAGCACACTCGCAGCGGCGAGTGCGGGAGCGTTCGGCGTTAGTTTTTATGAAGGAAAGTTGATATACACACTGGCAGCAAGAACAAGCCCGCACGTACAGCACACACGCGCCCATTGACTATAATATTACTTATTATAGTCAATGGCCGCGTGTGTGCTGTACGTGCGGGCTTGTTCTTGCTGCCAGTGGATATATACAGTGACGCAACAGTGGAACTGTAATTGAGAGGTACGGTAGTAGGGCCTATTTGTGAATGTGCGTTCATAATATTTTCAGTTTTTACTGACTCTGTCCCAAGTGCCTGAGTGCCACAGCAGTACAGTCAGTCGACGCTGCAGCGATACAGATGCAAGTAATCATGGGAACGGCATCAGCAGCGGCCACTCAGAGATGAACAAGCGAGCAATCAGCATATAGGGCATCGCTCGATCCCATCGCTGACGCACATGCGTCACGCAGAGGACGTTGCTGCTGCTGCTGCTGCTGCTGCTACTGCTGCTGTTGCTGTTGCTGCTACTGCTGCTACTGCTACTGTTGCTGCGGCTGCTACTGCTGCTGTTGCTACTGCTGCTGCTGCTGCTGCTGCTGTTGCTGCTGCTGCTGCGTGCATAATCAAGGAGACAGCTGTGTGGAGACAACAGCAGACCCGAAGACGTGGCATTGATACGGGATCTACTTGTACATAACCAGACGGGTATGCACACGTTTCCCCGGCTCCGTTACCACGACAACCGCATCCGTGACTGCGGGCGACGGATTGCCACGTGACTACTGACCGCTGTGGCGTTGGCTCCCACGGGGCATGTAATGTGGCTGCCCTCTCGGGGCGTCCTAACAGCTAAACGCACGAGAGAGGCTCGTGCGTGTGATTGCCAATGACATATATCCAATTAGCCCGACCTTCACATCCTTTTGCCAGCACCAGAGACATCCTTACACTAGAGTGAGGCTTCGACCGTAGTATTACCACCTGAGGAAGCTGAACAACTCACTAAATCGCAATTCATCGATTGGATTGACTCAGCAACTGACCCGAAGACTTCGGGTCGATACGGTATCTACTTGTGTATATAAACAGCCGTGTATGCAGTGCACACGTTTCTGCCACAGTCAAAAGCAAGCGCGAAATGCGCTAGATGATGTTTATCGTTGTTCAACGACAACTTTATCTCTTATCTTGATCTGGGCTCAATGTCATCGAGGAATGAGCGGTTGGAACCCACACGGGTTAGAGCAGTGCACATGCAGAGACGGCCCACCGCTCCGCTACACACACACACACGCACG